ATGAATACATTTATATAATCAGAGCCTCAGGGAGTCATGTGGTTTGGTTCCTTTTTCTTGCAAGTAACTCTAAATATATTACTGCTTACATTTTAGTTTTTTTTTCAGTTTTCTTTGATAAGATAAGGCACATGTGTCAAACTCAAGGCCCGGGGGCCAAATCAGGCCCTTGGTGGATTTAATTTCGGCCCACAGGATAATTTCTAATTACTATTAGATCTGGCCCGCCGGTATATTGCACGCACACCTTCACTCAATCCTGAGGGTCTCCTCAGCTCAGAGCCTGACCCCAAACATTGATGACCTTGCACCCAAGATGAGATGCCAAGTATCTGGCTTGAACTAGCATCACAGAGCAGCACACTGAGTTTACATGGATGTTTCCTTCTGATGTTTCACTCTAGCAGACGGCCACTGGGCTCACAGGGAGGGGGGGGCAGGAGCTCCAACAAGCCGTTTAGGACAGAGAGTGATTACACATACTATACAGAGATGCTGGATGAGAAAACAATGTGAGTTTGGAAAATTGCACAATATAAATGTATTCTAGTAGACCTCAACAATGGAATTATGATCAGTAGAAATGGCCATGACATGGGACCTTTAACATATTTCTCTCCTTTAACCTTGTAAAATGTCTGTAATATAATATAATATAATCAAAGATAATTAATACCGGTATTGGTCATTAAAGTCTTGATTAGAAGATGGTTATTCTGACCAAACTGCTGTGTGTGTTGGATTTCAGTTGGTTACAATAAATGTAGTTTTCACTGAAGAAAACAGAATGAGAACGATGCAACACAGCTCCTGCAGCATCCGTCCATCTGTTCCATACACGACTAATTACAATTCAGGTGCAAGTCAATGCTCTCCATCAGTGCATAAAGATGCATTTGTTTTCTGTCAAGGCAACCAGAAACCCCAGACTGCGGCGTCTGCAGAACCTGGAGCCTGCCATCAAGCTCACATATTCTCTCCACTGAAAGACAAGCCCTGGATTTGCAGCAAAAACAAAACCTGGTGTTCGATCCTCTCAAGAAATATGGTTGGATTTTGGCTCAAGCGGAGAAAGCTAGAAAATCAGTTCAACAAAGTGTAAGGCCAGTATTGACATGCAAGAAGGTAAACACATTGTTGTTTAGCTTTTAAGGTTATTTGTATAGTTATAGCAATAAACCTGATTCTGATTCTGAAGACAATGCTCAAGATACAACCGTTCACTCAGTAATTAAACCTTGGTAATGTAAACTGTTCAATAAACATCATTGTAAACTGCACCAAAGGACCGGAAAGCATCTGTTGTGTGTCTGCGTTGGGATCACTCATAATCCTGTGAAGTAATGGCAATAAACAAATATAGGACATTGGAATAACAAAGTTGCCATTACAATCTGTTTCAGAGCCAAGACTGCAGACACGAAGGAGATCCTGGTCGAGATCCTGATCGAGATCCCGATCGAGATCCTGATTGAGATCCTGATCGAGATCCCGCAGACTTCTTGGAGGAAAATCTCAGGTTAGGGAAAATGAGGAGAGAGAACAGAGGAGACAGATGTTTTGACCCAGACTGCAGGAGGAGACATCTCATGAGTGTCCCCTCAGGGCTTCAAACGAGAGTCAGCAGAACCAGGTGGAAGAGCAGGAAGTGGAAGGGGACATGAAGCAGGACAGGTGTGATGGACAGGAGCATTCATCTGGAGCAGGAGGAGGCGGAAAACAAGACATGTGAAGAATCCCATCCACATGCCGACCAAAACAAAGGATATTCACAAGAACTTTCAAGGCTTTTATTGTCACGCGTACATAGCTACAGTGTAGTGATGTCGATGGAAATCTTAGGTCACAGGCTCCTCCAAAAGTGCAACACAATAAAACAGATAAAACCGATAAGAAGCAGAAAGGAGCAATCGGACAATCCCTACAGTTTTTCATATTAAAACCCTTGTAAAGATTTCAGTTTGATTTCAGTAAAGGTGTTTGATTAGAAATATTTCCCTCCATTGCATTATTGGTCCCAAAGCTAGTCCCATTAACAACTTGAATGTTATAAAACAAATTCACTAACATTTATTTCACCTCATTTCCCAAACATGATGATCGTATTTGCAAAACACAGACTTTAGCTTAGCTTAGCCATTGTTTCTTAATAAAACATATTTAAGGCTAAATATGGTGGAAATGATACAAACATTTCCCCTTTTTCTCAGTTCTTTCTTTCTTAAAATATAAACTGTACCCAGGTTAAGATTGGTATGTATCAGATGTCTCGATCTTAAGTTATCAGAGAAACATGCTAAGTTAACGTTAGTGGAGGTATCCGAACAGCATCAGAGAAAACATTGTTTTAAACATGAAATTGCTTAATTCAGTTTAAATGCTGGTTTTAATCACAGGGTCTGTTTGTTTAGGATATGAGGATAACCTTAAAGATAAATCGGCTCCTGGTAAACACCACTTAAACGTCTGAATCCTAAATTAACCAACCCAGTCTCACGGCATTTCGTGTTATAGTGCAGCATAGACAGGTCTTTTCTGTGTTAGAGTTTTACTCGCTACAGGGTGTACTTTGAGGGTTGGTGACTGTGACCGTTTACATGCAGAAAAACCTTCATAACACACAAGGAGACGGGTAGTAACCAGAAAAGTATGACATGAGACCTTTAATGTATTGAGGATACTGCATGTCCAAGTCAAAGCAAAGAAGTCAGTGTTTTTCTCATCACTGCTTTCCTTCTCCCCATAAATAACTTTTATACCAGACATACTGATTACACTTCACTACACATGTGATGTAAATGAGTATAGACTGAATGTGTGTAAGAGAGGAGAGCATGCAGGCCATCATCTGAAGCTAAATGATGTCCCCCGGCATCTCTTAATGAGTACAAGGAGAGTCAAAATCAGGTTTATTCAACTCCGAACCCCAACAGATGTCCAAAATAATTACTACAATCTGTTACCAGAAGATAAAAATAGGTGATCTTTAAATATTTTTTGCATTATTAATGGGCGGCTGTAGTAGAATCGTGAAACCTCAATTAGCACTGCGGATATTAGAAAAGTATCAAATGACCTTTTTACTCTCATCTTGTATCAAAGGTAAAAAAAAGATGGTTTTGATAGACTGGAATCCTAATGGCTGGTGTTGCTTTAGAGGGGACATCTGATTGGTTAGATCTAAAGCTGAACATGCACTTATTTGCTCTTCTTAACGAGTAGATGAGAAGACAAGTCAGCTCCACCCTGCTCTCCAACATCCTCATTAATACACTGAATACACTGTTATTATTATTATATTTTGATGCTAAAACCTTTGTGCTTTTACTTGAGTAACATGTTGAATGTAGGGTACTTTTACTGTAACAGAGTATTCCTACACTCTGGTACTTCTACTTTTACTCAAGTGCAAGATCTGAGTACTTCTACTTTTACTCAAGTACAATATCTGAGTACTTCTACTTTTACTCAAGTACAATATCTGAGTACTTCTACTTTTACTCAAGTACAAGATCTGAGTACTTCTACTTTTACTCAAGTACAAGATCTGAGTACTTCTACTTTTACTCAAGTACAAGATCTGAGTACTTCTACTTTTACTCAAGTGCAAGATCTGAGTACTTCTACTTTTACTCAAGTACAAGATCTGAGTACTTCTACTTTTACTCAAGTACAATATCTGAGTACTTCTACTTTTACTCAAGTACAAGATCTGAGTACTTCTACTTTTACTCAAGTACAATATCTGAGTACTTCTACTTTTACTCAAGTGCAAGATCTGAGTACTTCTACTTTTACTCAAGTACAAGATCTGAGTACTTCTACTTTTACTCAAGTGCAAGATCTGAGTACTTCTACTTTTACTCAAGTGCAAGATCTGAGTACTTCTACTTTTACTCAAGTACAATATCTGAGTACTTCTACTTTTACTCAAGTACAAGATCTGAGTACTTCTACTTTTACTCAAGTACAATATCTGAGTACTTCTACTTTTACTCAAGTACAAGATCTGAGTACTTCTACTTTTACTCAAGTACAAGATCTGAGTACTTCTACTTTTACTCAAGTACAAGATCTGAGTACTTCTACTTTTACTCAAGTGCAAGATCTGAGTACTTCTACTTTTACTCAAGTACAAGATCTGAGTACTTCTACTTTTACTCAAGTACAATATCTGAGTACTTCTACTTTTACTCAAGTACAAGATCTGAGTACTTCTACTTTTACTCAAGTACAATATCTGAGTACTTCTACTTTTACTCAAGTGCAAGATCTGAGTACTTCTACTTTTACTCAAGTACAAGATCTGAGTACTTCTACTTTTACTCAAGTGCAAGATCTGAGTACTTCTACTTTTACTCAAGTGCAAGATCTGAGTACTTCTACTTTTACTCAAGTACAATATCTGAGTACTTCTACTTTTACTCAAGTATAAGATCTGAGTACTTCTACTTTTACTGAAGTACAACATCTGAGTACTTCTACTTTTACTCAAGTACAAGATCTGAGTACTTCTACTTTTACTCAAGTACCAGATCTGAGTACTTCTACTTTTACTCAAGTACAAGATCTGAGTACTTCTACTTTTACTCAAGTACCAGATCTGAGTACTTCTCCCACCTCTGGGTTTAGTTTGGAAGACATAGCACATTTAAAGTTCAATGTACACAAAAGGAAATTGAAATGGTTGTACGTGCTATAACTATTTATTCTACACTATGTCATATGTTTTATTACACACATTATTCAAAGAAAATTAATGTATTTCTCAATGCCAGAAAACCAATTGTGTCAATGATGCACAATACAAATAAAACACATTTTAATACAGTATGCAATTATTACTTAAGTTTGATTTCTTTGATCCAGTATACATCCTTTTGGATGTGCATACCTGAAAACCCCCGTTTGTTTCAAATGAAAACATTTTAATGTATTATGTAAAGATCTGTTTATTTTTGATAAAGCGACGAAGCAAGTCTTTTTTTAGGTCTGCTTTATTGGTTTTACACAACAGACAGGCACCAGTGGGGGGGATTTACAGACGTATTTTATGCCGTAGAACAAAACGTGAAAATATCTTCATCTTGAGTCACAGACCTTATTTCAGACAACTAACCAAAAATCACATCCAATGAAAAGATGTTTAATTTAAGTCAAGGAAACCCGTGTGTGTGTGTGTGTGTGTGTGTGTGTGTGTGTGTATGTGTGTATGTGTGTGTGTGTGTGTGTGTGTGTGTGTGTGTGTGTGTGTGTGTGTGTGTGTGTCTAATATCCGGTCTTTAGTACTCATCCCTGAGGAAAAGTGGACCTTACATGAGCACCAGAACCACCATCAGTGCACTGAGGAGGCTGCTGAGCATGGTGAAGCCCTGAATCCCCCCTGCTGAGTTCCCCGCGTGAGTGAAGGTGGTCTGCAGAGCGGGGGCCTCAGTTTGCGCCTGGCAGTGCCTCAGGTCGGCTCCCACACAGGCAGCGTAGGCCATGGCGTGGGCGATGTAGTTCTGCTCCTGGACGCCCTGGAAGAGGTGGGCCATGGGTCCGCGAGCCAGAACCGCCACGTCCTCCCCGCTGTGAGTGGCCGAATCTGTGGGGACCGCCGCCATCTGAACGTAGTCCTTCGTTTCTGGAGAACAGATGGAACGGTTTATAATTTAGCTGCCCTCAAGTGGCAGAAAGAAACAGCTTTAAAGGTCCCCTATTATACTTTTTTTCATCAATATATCATAGGTCTCAGATATATACAGAACCTGTCTCTGATTGGCTGAAACACCAAACAGATCATTGCAGCATTACCCATAATCCCCTCTGTTTCAGCCCTGTTTCAAAAGTGCTGATTCTCTGTCTGTTACTTTAGATGAAAATACATTTGACTACTGGAAGAGATAAAAGCATTTCAGAACAAACAAGGGACTGACCTTTACATTTTACCCTGCTGTGTTTAGGTCTTTGTTTAATACACGCTGACATTTCCTTATAATACAATCAGCTGTACCTTCGCTCTCGCTGACATTTCTCCTAATTTAATTTCTTTATAAATCAAGAAAGAAAATGTCAGTTCAGTTAAGATAATAGCAAGAAGACACAAGAAGACATGTACACTGGAAGACATGACATGACATGTACACTGGAAGAAGCATGTATTCAAAGTATTCACATTGACGATAAAAGTGTCCTATCGTAATTTCAGCGTTAGTAAGAAATATTCAATCACACTTCACACTAGGGGAAATATCATGAAATACTTATTTTGCAGTGCTTTTGCAAATATAGTTGCCCTATCCACAGTTTGACAGAGTCAACAGACGTGTCTTTAACAATGGGGAAATGCTTTTTGGGCTGCAGGTGTTTTTTTCACGACAATAGAGCGGTGCAGGGATGGCGTGTTTACCCGGAAGTAAGCTGCTGGTTCCCTCGACACAAAGCGATGGGATTTCTCCATAGGATTTTGGAAAATAGCTCGAAATAAGGTCTGTGGAAAACGAACCTGTTTGATAAATGCACGTTTTGTTCAGACGGATAATCTCCACATGTCTACCCTACTTTTATAATGTTCTAATCATAAATCTAATCTCCAGAAGCAAAATGCTAACGTTATGCTATAAAGGAACTACAGCCGAGTACAGCAGCACGACTTCAACGTCACGCCAACTTAAGATCCATATTCAAACATACAGATTCTAAATGGTACGAGTTGAAGCGTTTGTTTGAACAGTTAGCAGGAGGCAGGGACTTGCTTTCAAGCAGAACAGGCCAAACTAACTTAGAGGAGTGTTTACGTGTTCGGTGTAATGACATACAACGACCTCCACGACTTCTGTAGTCCTATTCAGCCACTCGGCAACAACCATCGTTTTTCAGACACGTCAACTCTTCAGGAATCACCAGTGGGGTCACTGCTGATGGATTTAATGTCCTAGAACAAAACGTGATCCGTCTCTTCAATGTGTCTCAACCACAGACCTTATTTCGAGATATTTTCCTAAATCCTATGGAGAGATCCCATTGGCTCTGAGACGAGGGAACAGGAAGTGGTGAAATGCTAACTCACCTCCTGGTTTTAGGACTCGTCACTGCACCACACTATATGTTATGGTTACTGGACAAATTAGGAATCAAGGCGGATCCAGGTCTTATTGTACATCCCTGATCTCAACCTGCTGCTTTACCTGGCTTGAGAAGTATAAGTACTTTTACTTAATCTGTACTGTGTGTTTTCAGACTTGATTTGCCTTTAAGATAAGATAAGATAAGATAAGTCGACTTTATTGATCCCAAATTGGGAAATGTTTGCGTTGCAGCAGTATAAAAAACAACAAAACAAGGCTTTGAATAAGATGCGAAGAAGTAAATATGATCAACTGAAGTAAACATGATATTCTCATGAGGAAAACAAATAAATATCTTACTGGTGTCCACGTTACGGAGGTCTGGCCGTTTGCCGTTGGTGAGTTTGTGTCCGGGTCCGTTTCCGTACATCAGCGTGGTGTAAGGCAGCATGTCCTGGGCCCACAGCGGAGATTTACCTGGAGAGAAAACACAGAACAAACAACAAACTTTGATTAATATTATCCTTCTGGCAGAACTGGGAATTTGTCACTTTGTCAACTAAATGAAAAATACCAAAATATATCTGTATTGTATTAAAATACTTTTAGAAAAAACAAGAATTGGTCATTTTTGTTTCATTATTATTTAATTTGTTTTTGTTGCATTAGTGTTGGTGTGTGTGTGTGTGTGTGTGTGTGTGTGTGTGTGTGTGTGTGTGTGTGCGTGCGTGCGTGCGTGCGTGCGTGCGTGCGTGCGTGCGTGCGTGCGTGCGTGCGCGGGACTCTTTTTGTTTAATTAATGCATGTGCTATCTGCAAACTTCTTTGAGTTTTTAGAAACGTTTTACGTAAGTTAAATGCATTATATTCAGACACATGTTGACCTATAGCTGTACAGTTCCCTTCTCCAGTTTTGTAAATAGGACACACTTCTTCTAAGTACACGTCTTTAATTACCCTGAACACATTAAAGCCTTGGAGGACGCAGACATCCCGACAGGCTTAGCCTAAATATCACTATAGAAATGTAATGAGCAGAAAGTGAACGAAGTGTGGAACAACATTCTGCTTTAACATCAGATTGAGTGTTTAATGGATCAAAACTGTTACTGTTATCACTATAATTACACTATTGCCATTTGAAATACATAATCATCTTCAATCCGACAGCTATAAAGCTATAAAGGTACGATATTGTCCAAAGCTAACAGATGTCACAATGAAACTTCCTGGGTTTATTACTTATATTAAGATTGAAATATGCAAATGAGGCACTGTCCAATTAAATATGGTAAGAGTTTAAGTCTTCAGGTAAAGGAGAGGGAAGAGTGACGGAGAGGAGACAGAGAGTCCAAGACAAAGATGTAAGGAGTATAAAAAAGATCGATATGGAGACGCGATAAAGGGAGATTAACAGACGAGGAACGACTGATAAAACGAGGAGGATTTAGAGAGACTAATGTGAGGGAGAGAGGAGAGGAGAAAGAGAGAGACTGAAATAGAAAATATGTGTTTACCGGAGCTGTAATTGAGAGAAAGCAGAGAGAAATGTCAAGCTGGCAGAGAGGGAACACACACACACACACACACACACACATGCGTGCGCACACGCACACACACACACACACACACACACCACACACACACACACACACACACACACACACACACACACACACACACACACACACACACACACACACACACACAAAATGCCACCTTGGGTGTTTATTGTCATGGAATAAAAACACACCTGGAGAGGGGAATGGATGGAGGAGTTACGGATGGAACAGGGGAGAATTTATCTTGCATCAGAAAACTCACATCGATATATTCTAAATGATAACTATGTTTTTACGGCACCTATCGTTACACACTAATGTGTTCATCGCTTTAATGTTGCAGCAGGTAAAGGTGGATTCATTTGAAATAATGTATATACTGCTGGGTAGCCAGGTGTATATCAGTATATAGTGTCTCTACTTTAAAGAGTCCTCTCCTGCTGATGTTCAGGTGTATATCAGTATGTAGTGTCTCTACTTTAAAGAGTCCTCTCCTGCTGATGTTCAGGTGTATATCAGTATGTAGTGTCTCTACTTTAAAGAGTCCTCTCCTGCTGATGTTCAGGTGTATATCAGTATGTAGTGTCTCTACTTTAAAGAGTCCTCTCCTGCTGATGTTCAGGTGTATATCAGTATGTAGTGTCTCTACTTTAAAGAGTCCTCTCCTGCTGATGTTCAGGTGTATATCAGTATGTAGTGTCTCTACTTTAAAGAGTCCTCTCCTGCTGATGTTCAGGTGTATATCAGTATGTAGTGTCTCTACTTTAAAGAGTCCTCTCCTGCTGATGTTCAGGTGTATATCAGTATGTAGTGTCTCTACTTTAAAGAGTCCTCTCCTGCTGATGTTCAGGTGTATATCAGTATGTAGTGTCTCTACTTTAAAGAGTCCTCTCCTGCTGATGTTCAGGTGTATATCAGTATGTAGTGTCTCTACTTTAAAGAGTCCTCTCCTGCTGATGTTCAGGTGTATATCAGTGTGTAGTGTCTCTACTTTAAAGAGTCCTCTCCTGCTGATGTTCAGGTGTATATCAGTATGTAGTGTCTCTACTTTAAAGAGTCCTCTCCTGCTGATGTTCAGGTGTATATCAGTATGTAGTGTCTCTACTTTAAAGAGTCCTCTCCTGCTGATGTTCAGGTGTATATCAGTGTGTAGTGTCTCTACTTTAAAGAGTCCTCTCCTGCTGATGTTCAGGTGTATATCAGTATGTAATGTCTCTACTTTAAAGAGTCCTCTCCTGCTGATGTTCAGGTGTATATAAGTATGTAGTGTCTCTACTTTAAAGAGTCCTCTCCTGCTGATGTTCAGGTGTATATCAGTATGTAGTGTCTCTACTTTAAAGAGTCCTCTCCTGCTGATGTTCAGGTGTATATCAGTATGTAGTGTCTCTACTGTGACATGTCTCCATGCTTTAATGTTCAAAAAGCTCTTTATTCTTCTCATACTGTCTGTGCTGCAGCACCTCTTTTCACCCTCTGTCTGAAACCAGAGCCCAGTCTGCTCTGATTGGTTAGCTGGCCGGCTCTGTTGTGATTGGTCAACCACTTAGAGATGTCCCGCCCCTTAGCCTATCACGATCACTGTGTTGGAGCGCTAGCCAATAGAAGTGCGAGTGTTACATAGTGATCTCAATATGTTATTTTTCTTCTTTACTTGCTTGTAAAGCCATTGAGCACTAGGAGAAGCGCTATATAAATAACATGTAATATTTAAAATAAATACTTTAGTACAGTACTTAAGTAAAAGTACTTGCTTACACTCCACTACTGCACGATATAGGAAGTTGTGTCATAATTACCCAGAATGCTCTGCCCTCTGAATGGGTATCCGTTGAAGGTGAAAGGGTGTGAGTGGTCGGCCATCACCACAGTGAGAGTCTCTTCCTCGTTGGTGAGTTCAAGGCCCTTTGCGATGGCGTAATCGAGAGCCACCGCCTCATGGAGAGCCATGGAGGCCCGTCCGGCGTGATGAGCCTGGTCAATACGCCCCCCTGAACACAGAGAGGATTGTGGGTAATAGCTTCTGGTACAGCTGCTGTAGTTGTTATTAATGTATCTGATTAAATTAGTCAGAATCAGGTACACATTCAAGCTTGGTGTAAGGATGTAAACAGTAGCAGATATATAACAACCGCTAAGCTAAAGGCGGCTAATGTTGGGCTATAAAGGAACTACAGCACGGTCACATGACTTCACGTCACCACCGCTAAGCTAAAGGCGGCTAATGTTGGGCTATAAAGGAACTACAGCACGGTCACATGACTTCATGCCACCAACGCTAAGCTAAAGGTGGCTAATGTTGGGCTCTAAAGGAACTACAGCACGGTCACATGACTTCACGTCACCACCGCTAAGCTAAAGGCGGCTAATGTTCAGCGTGATGAAGTTAAGCAGTCTTATTTAGAAACCTGACGTTTTTGTATTCACCAGTGGGGCATAGTTCTTGTTGTAGAACAAAACTGTAAAATCTATTCAGCTTGTGTTAACCACAGACCTTATTTCTAACCAAAAAACACATTTAAAATACCAATGACTTCAAGACGAAGGTACAGGAAGTGCTTAAATCCTGCCTCATTTCTGGGTTTTAGGACTCATTCTTGCTCCACTATAGGAAAAGGGGACCTATATACATATGGAGGATAAATCTCCTGCACTTCCCTTCTCTCCTGGATGGTGAAGTTGACGCTGGTTAATAAGTTGTGAGCTGTCAGAGATTGGGAGCACCATATGCCTGCTTCTATTTATACATGTATTTTAGAGAGTCATTGTGAAGACACTCAGTCCCCGGGCGACTGCCTCAGATTAAAGGAGAGATGGATGAGGAGGCCGCAGTGAGGTGAGGCAGAAACACATCACACACCTCACTTTAGCACACACACACACACACACACACACACACACACACACACACACACACACACACACACACACACACACACACACACACACACACACACACACACACACACACACACACACACACACACACACACACACACACACACACTGCGGCAAATTCATTGAGCTGTGTGCAGAATCAATGTCAAGTTACCACCTCGGCTGCAGGTACACATCATTCTCCAAAGTGGTGCATTGTGGGTGATACCGACTCTATCATATACATGTAAATATATTTAGCAAACTACAAACAATTACCAGTTTTGTGTTTTTAATTGCCAATTAGGGTCTCTTTGTGATTATAACACTGTAGATCGAAACTGTGGATGTAAACCTGTGCAGTTATCTAACCGTGCAATACTCATATCACTCAGGACTCTGTATTACACTTTACAATTAGAGTTAGCGCCATCTTGTAAACATCACATTTCTCATACTATATCTTTCTAGAAATACCGCTGGTAATAATCATCATTTATTTCTTTATTGATACTAACATACCTACAGTAATATACCACTGTATTTATTGTAATAAACACATTTTTAGTATACACATTTCATACTTATTGTTCTTACAAATTGTAGTACAATGTGCACATTTTTTATTAACGTCTAATGTTAATATTCATATATTTTTTCTATTTTATTTGATATTTTTATTGCACATTTTTACTTTGACTTCTCCTGTTAATATAATTATTTTAATATTTTTTTATTTGACCTCTTATTGCATAGTTATGCTTTAACTTCTTATGATTATATAGATATTATCATTCTATTTTATTTGTATTGCACATTTTTACTTTAACTTGTTTTGTGATATAAATATTTTGAATTATTTTATTTTATATTTGTATTGCTCACTTCTGATTTAGAGTCATTCAATATTATCCTGTATTTGATCTTCTTTTTTGCAAATTTCACGCATTCTTTTGTATAATTTGTTTTACTATTCTGCAAACGAGCAACTGTCACAATACCTAATTTCCCCCGGGATAAATAAAGCATCCTGATTCTGAATCAGTGACTGAATTGATCCAACTGGAGCAGCAAAGTGGTTTTTTGTGCTATTTTCAGCCGATTCGTCATCTCTCTGGGGATTTCATTATCCAACCTTTGACGGATAATGTGACAGGGAGTGTGTGCAGAGTGTTTTCCTCACTGTTGGGAAAATACTGAATGTTCCGTCTATATCAGAGTAACACATGATAACAGAGGCCCTACGTAGCTGTGTACGTAGCCGGATGTATGACTACAATGATGACGCTCAACACTGTGTTGAAGTTATGATGTTCCTAAGACTGGCATGATCACACAGCCCTATAGAGATAGGCATATGACTGTCATGTGTATTGCTTACGCAGGCCTTAGCTAATCTGAACTAATGTCAGAATACTGCTTTGAACCAGTATTCTTCCATCGAGTTGACTGTAACTCCCTCTCTTGTATATCAGCATATCAAGGACTCTACTCTGGGAACTATTTGTCCTACGCAGCCCTGTGTGTGATGGCTACTTCCATTCTTGCAAGGATAATAAATACATGTATCCTGATATTGAAGACCAAGCCGGTGACGAGTGATATTTTTCTAACACTCACCCTCCACTAAAAGGAAGAAGCCTTTGGGGTTTTTCTGGAGGATGCGGATGGCTTTCTCTGTGGTCTCCACGATGGATGGGTCCATTTTGGGATCCCGTTCTACCTCGAAGCGCAAATCACCGGGTTCAAACAGAGCTGGGGGAGAAAAGGTCAGAAAGAGTCATTTTGGTGTAAAAATACAGCTTTTCAGCCCACAGTGGAGGAGTAGCAAACAGGAAATTCCCATTTCCCTCCTACTCCTAACACTACAGCTGTTTCCAGAACACATGAAAGAGAGAGAGAGAGCACAAAAGCTTGATGACTAAATCTCTAACGTTCCTCCACTCCACAGAGAACTGCATATACAACCGTTAAAAGCTGCACTGGAGGAGGTGTAGGCAAAGAGGAGCAGAGGGAGTATTCAACTCAACTTTATTTATATATCTTTGATACAAAATGTTTGCGTGGTTCACCAGCAAAATGTAAAATGCATAGAAAATTATAGGATCATCAATAGAATTCTGCAAGACGGCCTTTATTTATATATTAATAATAATATTTTTAAATATTTTAATTTTGTGATTTGTTGCTGATGAATGTTTTTATATATATATATATTGTGGGGGAAACTTCTGAAGCAATGGAAGTCAGGACTCAGAGAGACACGATGGAGAGCTGGAGCTTTGATGGCAAACACTGATGGTTTATTTGGAGCTTCGACCGGAGAATTCACAAGACATGTCACGGTCCACACGGTTGAGATGCTACAATCAATTCTGAAGAACTCTTCTGTAGCTCGAGGTTTTAACTAGTTCAGAGTGTAATAATCAACATTCTTTATCAGCGAGACTAAACAATTATGGCCCCTGAATCTAACTAGAGCTCTCGTCCATAGAAAAGAATGTGAGCCAGGGAACCTACGTCCCTGAACAGTAAACTACCTCATGGCGGCACCAACAATGCGCCCAAGCTGCCCCTCCTTAAGAGAGATAGCAGCAATACCCAAGGCCGTAGACCAGTGACCATCAACTGGCGGCCCGCAGGCCAAATCTGGCACGCCAGACATTCTCATCCGGCACGCGCTGTGGCACTGGCGGAGTGGTTAGTGCGTTCGCCCCCCCCACTCGTTTTATTTTTACAACGTCTCGTGAGTAATGTGCAGTACCGGAGTCCAACAGAGAGGCAGCAGCTGCGGGACAGTAGCCTGTGTACTGCGTAGCCTGCCCTGCCCTGAAGAAGAAGTGATCCTTCGTTAGCGCGAAGAGTCTGCTTTATGCGCTCCGCAGTAGCCCCGCGGCGAGGCTCCGGCGACTTGACAGTACATGAGCGTGCTCCACTAGCACCACGAGCACCCCCCGGCCAACAACTTCAAAATTCAGGGCTATATATAAAAATCGCTGGACCCCGAAAGTGTCTCTAGGAATAATTTTGGCCCTTGGACAAATGTAGTTGGTGATCCCTGCCGTAGACCTATGCCACGGGAAAGGAGACAGTGAAAAGAGGAACATTATGAACTGTGTCAAAGGTTGAATACCTAAGCAAATGATTCCCCAACAGTTCCTCTTATGCTGATGTAAATTAAAGGTGGGGTAGGTACGTTTGAGAAACCGGCTCGAGATACACTTTTTGTTATATTCCATGGAATGCTCTTAACATCCCGATAGCAATGAATATCTGAAGTGCTTTGACAAAAAATCCATAAAAAAAGGTCATCTGTGGAAGCTGTAGTACTGTAAAAAGCACGACCAATCATTTTAGCCGGCCGAGACACGAGGAGAGCTGGAGCTTTGATGTCAAACGCTGACGGTTTATTTGGAGCTTCGGCCGGAGAATTCACACGACATGTCAAAGAGCCAGAGGTCTGACCACACGGTTGAGATGCCACATCAATTCTGAAGAAACCTTCCTCTCGCATGATGTCTTAACGAGTTTGGAGGAGGAGGGTAATCCACATTCTTCACTAGATAGTCTAAACAGCTGGGGACACTGAATTACTTGCAGTTGACGCTTATGGCCTCGAAGATTTCACACCTTGGAGTCAACAAGCCCCGAGAAGGAAAGGTAAACATCTATGGGCATTATTCCCCAACAATATATATATATATTTTTTGGGTTTGTTTATTTGTTTGATTGTTTATTCTTTAGGTTTTTGCTATGATGTCTTACTCGGCTGTATTGTATGTCTTTTGTATTGTACATTATGCATCTATAAAAACACATTTCAAACTGAATTCTGCAATTAAATTAAATAAAAAATATAAACCCTAATATATATAAATATATGTCTTTATATATTGTTACAGCATACAATATGTATTCTACTTTAAAATAATTAATTACACATTCAGTTTTTATTCTTATTCCTGCAATTTACGTGACATTTGTTTGAAAATTGCTTTATTTTTATTAGTTTTATACTTAAAGTGGACCTATCATGCAAAATGCACTTTTGTACGTCTTTTCTACATGAATATGTGTCCCCGGTGTTCCAGGGAACTCACCAAGTGTCAGAAAACACAACCCTCTCTATTTTCCTCCATACCCAAATCTCTAAAAAAGGGGCTGCAACGGATCTGATAAAAACTGATCCAGATTTGAAAATGCTCTGACGTCAGGAACGAGGAGCTCCGCCTATATGGGCAACTCTCCACCTATCAGGAGGAGACAGCCACGGCCATTGCCGTTCGAAAGCGGTGGAGACGCTGTAGTACATATGCCAGGCCTGTAGGTGGCGCTGTAGTCTGCCACAAAAGCAGCGAAGAAGACTTCTCACAGTTTCAGCCCTTGCAAACACAGGGCTAAAAAAGAGCAAATAGAGCGAAATGAGGCATGGCTAAAATGCATGATCTGTTTGGTATTTTGAAAAAAAAACGTTGCAGACATGTTTTATATAGGTATGGCCCTACAATATATTATTCAAATATAGCATGATAGGTCCACTTTAAAGTATGATGTATGTTGCCGTGTTGGAGGAGCCTGGGACTCCCATTGGCTAGAACATATGCTCTAGCCTTTGTGTATAGGAGAAATAAAGCCTTTGAGTCTTTGAACCTGTTGCTTGTTGGTCAGTAAGCACCTTGAAAATATGATTCAGGTGAGATAAAGCAGACGTCACTGCCAGTTAATCACACATTAGGGAGTTACAGTTGTGTTTTTATTTCCATCATCGGTATTTGGTATTTAACAACTACGCATTGTACAACATCCAACCTTGACATCAATAATAGAATAATAAACTCAGCAAACCAAGGCCACTATGGGCTCCTCCTTGCAGAGAAGAGCATAAGATGGCAAAAGGAAAGGGTCAACAACAAACAACAAACAACAACAAACTCACCCATGAGGTAGTCAGTGGTTTCAGGGTCAACAGCACTGAAATCTGTTTGATTCCACACGTAGCGAGCGACCTGAGAGTGGGAGGAGGACAGAGAACCTGTTTGTGTTTGTTGTGAGTCACCAGAGATTCTTGTTTGTAAGTGTTATAGTAATCTAGATGCCAGGAAATGTGAACCAGGAAATGTAAAGTACGTAGAAACTGCCGGATGAGATATATAAGGAAAACTGAAGGATAATTGAATGAAAAATAGCACAAAAAAAACACAAAAATATAAATGTATGGGATATTTAAAAGTAGTATAAAATATCCTTGAAAATATAAAAAAACAAGAAAAAAGATATTGGTAAAAAAGCAAAAAAGAAATGTCTAAATGAAAAATCCGAGAAAGTTTCGTAAAAACAAAGTGTCCTGTTCTGGCAAAAACATTTCAAGTAATTTAGCCATTCTTAAACATGGAACAGTTCTATAAAACCAGTGAATATGTTGATCCTTACGTCTGTGGCACATAGAAACTAGATGCTAACTTGCATATGTCGGGCAATTCGCACAATTAGCATAAGTTGCATTAATTGCCGATTTGGACAATGGTGTTGTGGATTTGGAGGTTATTGAGGATGTTGAATCCATTTCTGACATTTTTTAGGATAAAGAATGGCAGTTTTGAGTCCCCTAAACATTAGAAACGACACAAAATGCATCCAAATCAGCCCACAGAGAGTACACAAAAGGCCACTTTCTGGTTAAATCTGCCATTTTTGATCCTGAAAATGTCAGAAATAGATTCAATAACCTCCAAAATCACACAAAACGTGTCCAAATATTGTTTGAATATGCTAATTAATGCAACTTGTGCTAATTGTGAAAATTGCCCATGCAAGTTGGCATTCGGCAGTTTGTGCTGGGGACCCGTACTTTGACATTTCTAACATAAGACGTTGGGGTACTCAACATTTCCAGGTTCACAATAGGACTGCTTGACTTTAAGCTGTCCTCAAAGGTTTTTATTCTCACCTGTTGCTTAAGTTAAGGCAGTTTTAGAAGTTTCTGTGTTTGAAATATAAATATTACCTTTCCGATTTTCATTTTCTGCCACTCATCGATGAGGTTACGTCCGTCTTTCCTTTTGCCCCTGGAGGAGAAATCTGCGGGGTATTCTGGGTCCTTGGTGCCCCTCGGGGTCATGTACTTCCTACCACCTCCAATTATCACCTGGACACACACACACACACACACACACACACACACACACACACACACACACACACACACACACACACACACACACACACACACACACACACACACACACACACACACACACACACACACACACACACACACACACACACACACACACACACACACACACACACACATTGCTCTATTCACATCACCATCTTTTAAAAGATCTGTATCTGGCAAGTATTAGTAAAACATCCTGAAATAAGATATATTATATTATATACAATTGTATTAGTAAAATTTTGCGAAAATATTGCTAAAATTGCACAAATAAAACATGCAAATCTCAATGTATAGGATCATTAAAAGTAGTATTAAATATCCTTAAAAATATAATGAAAATATAAGAAAACAAGGAAAAATATAATTTGGAAAAATTGCAAAAATGTAAGGAAAAAAATAGAATATTTACATAAAATATTCTTAAAAAACAAGACATTTAAGTGAAAATAGAAGAAAAATATTTGTAAAATAACATAAAAAAATACATAAAAAATTATGAAATGATCTTGTTTTGGCACAAATATACACATTTGAAGTAATTTAAGCAGTGATTATGATATCCTTACGTCTATATCAGTGTTTTTGAGCATCTGGGAGGCGATGTCTGTGCAGCCGTCCTTCTTGGCGGCTTCGGGCATGTCGGCGTCGCTGTACCACTTCCTGCTGGCGCTGTGGGCGTAGCTGGTGGCCGGCGTGGCGTGCTGCACCCGCGTGGTCGTCACGATGCCCACGGACTTTCCTTCAAAATC